TTCGTAATTAACGAAATTTAGGAAATTTCGAAATTTTAAAATCATAAATTTCGGAAGGCCTCTGAAATTGGAAACGCTGGCGCCCCCTAGAAACGAAGCGAGTTTAGAACCACATTTTTTTCTGGGAAGAGTTAGCTGATAACTTAGGATAGGTTAGTCAGAAACTCATTACTATTTCTCTGAAGTAGAGTGAGGGATTTTTGTTATTAGCAGCTAGATCTGTTTGATTAGCTCTGACTTTAACTAAGTGAAGAAACTCATTCTAGCAACCATCAAGCTGTAGTATTTTTGTAACAAGTCAAGCGTTTTGTGTCTCTCAGAAGTAGTTAGTTGTCTGTTTTTATAAATAAATCTTTTTCTATTCAACTTTCAAGAAAGGTCTCAGGGGGAGGATTTTTGAGGAAAGAGTGAATCTTTGGGGAAAGAACCATCCTGCCCAGACATATTATCAATAAGCCTCCAGACTCGTGTCACTGGTTGTGATATTTTCTTTCTTACTGGTGTCCAGTGGTGTGATATTACGTATAACCCTTTACACTATGCCTTTTCCCTGCGTGTGTTTGCACTCCAGGCGGATGCTGAAGAGCCAGCGCAAGGCCAAGGAGGAGAAGGGCCCCGCGGTCATCATCCCGCCCAGGGCCCGGGCCGGGACCCCCAAGCTCTTCCAAGCGGCTCTGGCGGCGGCTGGGCGGGCGGGCGGCCATGGGAAGCTTGCCCACCTCCGATGGAGGGTCAAGGAGCTGAAGGCCATGCAGGTGGGCAGCGGGACCAAGGGAGACACATGTTGGGAGGGAGAAGACAACAATTAGACCACCCCAAATCCTCCCTCCTTCCTCCTCCTTCCTCCTCCTCTCATTTCTCCCATCTTCCTCCTCCTTTTCTTCTCTTCTTCTTCATCTTCCTCTTGTTCCTCTATCTCTTCTCCTCCTCTTCTCTCTTCTTCCTCTTCTTTTCTTCTTCTTTGTCTAGTTCTCCCTTCTTCCTCTTCTTCTCTTCCCTCCTCCTCCTCCTCCTCCTCCTCTCCTCTCTTCTCCTCCTCCTTCTCCTTTTCTTTGTCTTCTTCCTTCTTCCTCTTCTTCTTTTCCCTCCTCTTCTTTCTCTTCATGTTCTTCCTCTTCCCCCTTTTCTTCTCTCTTCTTCTTCTTCTTTTCCTTTTCTTTGTCTTCTTCTTCCTTCTCTCTCCTCTTCCCTTCTCTTCTTCTTCTACTACTACTTCTTGTTCCTATACCTCTCCTCCTCCTCCTCTTCTCTCTTCTTCCTCTTCATCTTTTTCTTTTCTTTGTCTTCTTCTTTCCTCTTCCTTCTCTTCATGTTCTTCTTCCTTCTCTTCTTCGTCTTCTCTCTTCTTCTTCCTCTTCCTCTTGTTACTCTACCTCTTCTCCTCCTCCTCTTCTCTCTTCTTCTTCCTCTTCTTCTAATCTCTCCTCTTCCTCCTTCCTCTTCACGTTCTTCTGCCACTTCTTCTTTTTTATCATCTTCTTGCTCTTCTTCCCCCTCCCCTTTCCCCCCTTTTCCTCTTGTAATTATGGTATAATAACAATATTACTGTTGTTTTTATAGTATTGTTATGATATTATTATTGTTATGGTATAATTACAATATAATTATAGTTATTATTTTGGAATTATTCTTATGGAATAATTGCAATACTGTTGTTGTTCGTATGGTATTATTATTATTATTATTATTATTATTATTATTATTACTATTATTATTAGGCTGCCTATTATTATTATTATTGTATTATTATTATTATTATTATTATTATTATTATTAGGCTTCCAATTATTATTATTATTATTATTGTATTATTATCATTATTACTAATACTAGGCTGCCAATTATTATTGTTATGGTATAATTACAATATAATTATAGTTATTATTTTGGTATTATTCTTATTATGGTATAATTGCAATATTGTTGTTGTTCTTATGGTATTATTATGGTGGTGGTATTATTATTATGGTATTATTATTATTATTATTATTATTATTATTATTATTATTATTAGGCTGCCAATTATTATTATGTATTGTCAAAGGCTTTCATGGCCGGAATCACTGGGTTGTTGTAGGTTTTTTCGGGTATATGGCCATGTTCTAGAGGCATTTTCTCCTGACGTTTCGCCTGCATCTATGGCAAGCATCCTCAGAGGTAGTGAGGTCTGTTGGAACTAGGAAAAGGGATATATCTGTGGAATGACCAGGGTGAGACAAAGGGCTTTTGTAAGTTGGGCTAGGTGTGAATTTTTCCACTGACCACCTTGATTAGCATACAATGCGCTGACTGTGCCTGGAGCAAACTCTTCTTGAAAGGTGATTAGATGTCCCTGCCTGTTTTTCTCTCTGCTGTTTTTGCTGTTGCAATTTTAGCATTTTTTAGTACTGGTAGCCAGATTTTGTTCATTTTCATGGTTTCTTCCTTTCTGTTGAAATTGTCCACATGTATTGTCGAAGGCTTTCATGGCTGGAATCACTCAGTTCTTGTGGGTTTTTTCGGGCACAGTCAGCCCATTGTATGCTAATCAAGTGCTAGTTGTGTGTGCTTGTTTCAACAAAAGATTGTCCCAGGCTGCCAGGCAATCAAATGCTAAGCAAGGTGGTCAGTTGAAACATTCACACCTAGCTCCAGCAGACAAGAGTCCTTTGTCCCACCCTGGTCATTCCACAGATATATAAAACCATTTTCCTAGTTCCAACAGACCTCACTACCTCTGAGGATGCTTGCCATAGATGCAGGCGAAACGTCAGGAGAGAATGCCTCTAGAACATGGCCATATAGCCCGAAAAAACCCACAAGAACTGAATTATTATTATTATTATTATTATTATTATTATTATTATTATTATTATTATTGGTAGTACTAATACTAGGCTGCCAATTATTATTGTTATGGCATAATTACAATATAATTATAATTATTTTTTTGGAATTATTCTTATGGTATAATTGCAGTATTGTTGTTGTTCTTATGGTATTATTATGGTGGTGGTATTATTATTATTATGGTATTATTATTATTATTATGCTTCCAATTATTATTATTATTATTATTATTATTATTATTTTATTATAATCATTATTACTAATACTAGGTTGCCAATTATTATATGGTATAATTGAAATATAATTATAGTTATTATTTTGTAATTATTCTTATGGTATAAATTCAGTATTGTTCTTATGGTATTATTATGGTGGTGGTGGTATTATTATTATTATTATTATTATTATTAGGCTTCCAATTATTATTATTATGGCATAATTACAATATAATTATAATTATTGTTTTGGAATTATTCTTATTATGGTATAATTGCAATATTAGTGTTGTTCTTATGGTAATATTATGGTGGTAGTATTATTATTATGGTATTATTATTATTATTATTATTATTATTATTATTATTATTATTATTATTGCTAGGCTGCCAGTGCCACTCCAGTTCCACCCAAATCTCCATTCAGCCCCATTTCGCCAACCGGATCATGGAAATCGGATGACCACAGGACCAAGGCGGTCACTTCTGCGTCTTCAGGTCATTTGGTCCAGGTTTGCGTGAGTCCAGCTCCAAAAGAAGAGGATCAACTTCTCTCCGTTGAGGTTGTAGACGAGAAGGAAACTAAATAGGGGAGAAATACAGCTTGCAAGACTTGTAGTTGACCAGATGGTTGCCGTATGAATCCGCTCCGGGTTTTAGTCCGAACTTTAACACTTTCCAAGGGACTGAATCTCTGTAGTGAAGCTTTGAAGTCTGGACTAGAACCCAGAGTGGATTCAACAGCATCTAGGTGAACAACAAAGCCCTAGGATGGCATTGGATTGAGCAAGAATTGGTCGAGTTTCCATTGGAAGATATGAGAATTATTAATGAATGTCTCTGTTGAGGTTCAGCCTGCGTGTGAACCTGAACCTGATTCCCTGATTGTATTTCCTGATGCTACTGAACATGTATTTTTCCCTGATGGTAATGAAAATGTTGATTCTGAGGTCAGTGGCTTGGAAAGTGAAACTACACATTCTGATGAGAATGTTGCAGAGCCAAGCGGTGATAGCTCTCCAGAGGAGTTAGCACCTGGCTTCCTTAATGAGGATAGAAAAGGACAGATTTGGAAAAACAGGAGTGAATCGCAGAGTCTGCGAAGGTCAAGCAGATTAAGGGAAAAGGAAACACAAGCTTCAAAGCCTGGAGGCATGTCACGAAAGAATTTCTTCAGTTTTAAGTGCCTCTCGCCGGGTTGTCTCGTTAGATCAGAGCAGGAAACGAGACCATAAGATAACAATCCACCACACTTGAGTGTGGGAAAAAACAATCCCTTTTTATTGATGAAAAATGGTTACAAAATAGAAGAAAATGCAAAGTCAAAAAGCCACAGTAAAATTCAGCAGTCAAGAATATCCATGAACTAGATCAAAATCCAAAAGCAACACTGTAAAAACCTGGAACCTGTTAGCAATCCAACTCTTTCGTGACACGCCTCCAGGCTTTGAAGCCTGTGCTTCCTTTTCCCTTAATCTGCTTGACCTTCGCAGACTCTGCGATTCACTCCTGTTTTTCCAAATCTGTCCTTTTCTATCCTCATTAAGGAAGCCAGGTGTGAGCTCCTCTGGAGAGCTATCACCGCCTGGCTCTGCAACATTCTCATCAGAATGTGTAGTTTCACTTTCCAAGCCACTGACATCAGAATCAACATTTTCATTACCATCAGGGAAAAATACATGTTCAGTAACATCAGGAAATACAATCAGAGAATCAGGTTCAGGTTCACACGCAGGCTGAACCCCAACAGTCTCAACTGGACTTTACTAGTTTGATAGCACTTTAACTGCCATGGCTCAATGCTATGGAGTCCTGGGAGTTGTAGTTTGGGGAGGCAAGCAGCACTCTTTGGCAGAGAATACTACTACTACTACTACTAATAATAATAATAATAATAATAATAATAATAATAATAATATATTTATCATTATTATTTAGTTTCTTCCTTGCCTCTCCACAAAACACACATTAACATACACAAACAAAAGTTAGGCATAAAGTGGAAGTCGAAAGTCTCATTTGGGAGAAGTCCTTGCAGAACTACAACTCCCAGGATGCCATAGCATTGAACCACAGCAATCCATCCTTTTGGGAAAAGCAAACAAGATTGTGATGATTTGCTTTGCTGTCAGGGGAAAACCAACCTTTACCTTCAATATTAATGTTGTTGTTGTTGTTGGGTTGCCAACGCACTTTGTTTCCAGCCAAGTCTCCATTTTCCCTAAAGGCCCCATGGAGCATAGATTAGGAACTGCTGCCTTATAGTTCACCAAAGAGTCAACAGATAGAGTAAGAGTATTGTTGCTCGGTCTTGCAATGTTGCCATGCATTTCGGTGCATTTCGGACGTCCCTGATATCCTCCGCTGCCTTTTTGTTCTGTCCGTAGTGAAAAAAAGAGCAACTTTTGAGAGAATGGGAAAAAGATTTTGGAAAAGACCAAAATCTGGCTGCAGAATGGCAAAACATGGTGAAATAGAGCATCACAATCCCTGGTATCTGTATGTTTGCAATATCTCATTAATCCACTGTTATTTGCCCTAATAAAACAGCACTATTTCTGCACTTTGAAGTCTTTGCCTATTTCTTCCAGGAGGTTACCGGGGAGGGCTTTATGGGTTGCTATATTTTCCGAAATACGCGAAAGGGCATTTCTGTTGTCCCAGAGTTATCTTTGGGCAAATTCCTGTTCCTCATTGGTCCTATTGAAATGGCAGGGAGAAGGTTTGAGGAAAAGAGACAAAAGAGAGTCCCTGAGGTCTGTAAAAGCATGGTTTATTCTCGACCGGATATGGACCCTTCTGGTATTCCAGGAAACAGGTTGACGAACAAAGGAATTGTCTTGGTTTATATACCCTTTATAATAATAAGCATACATCATACCAGCATCATAATGTGCGTCACAAAATTCCACTTTTACATTGTCTTCAATGGCATATTTTAACTTCAACACCTTGAATCTTCCATTAAGCACCTTTATCTAAAGAGCTGCCGTTTCCACATGTGGTGGACTTGTGACAAAGCCAAAGATGATTGGAAGAAGATACAAAAAGAAATCCAAAATATGTTAAAACTAAAAATACCAATGAAACCAGAAATATTATTGTTAGGAATATACGAAAAGAATTTAGAAAAAGATAAAGACAAAATATTATTTTTAGCATTGACAGCCGCAAGAATGTGCTATGCCAAAAAATGGAGACAAACAGAAACACCAGACGAGGAAGACTGGAAAACAAAGATGCTAGACATTAGCAACTTAGACAGACTTACCTTTCTATTATTGAAAAACAAAGAAATTGGAAGAAAAGAAACAGACTGGAGAGAAGTCACCGAATATTTAAGGAAAAAAAGGAGACATTAATCTGAACGGAAGAAGGAAAAATAAGGATGGAAACTCAATAAAAATAGAGAAAGAAAAGGAGAATAGAAAGTTTAACAAAAGGGACTTTAGAAGAAGTCCAAACAGAAGATTCTTGGAAGACACCAGAAGGTCAAGACAATTTTTCTTTTTTTTCTTTTTCTTTTTTTCTTCTTCTTTTCTTTTTTGCTTTTTTTCTTCTCTTCATTCTCTATTTTTCTTTTTATTTTCTGTTTCACTTTTTTCTCTCTCTCTTTTTTTTTTTAAAAAAATTATTTTTACCTTTTAAGAAAATCTCAATAAAGATCATTTTTAAAAACATATCTAAAGAGCTGCTATTAGTGGGTCATCCCATACCTCATAGCGCCACAGTGTCTATACCAGAGATCCTCAAACTAAGGCCCGGGGGCCGGATGCGGCCCTCCAAGGTCATTTACCCGGCCCTCACACGGGGTCAACCTAAGTCTGAAATGACTTGAAAGCACACAACAACAACAACCCTATCTCATCAGTCAAAAGCAGGCCCACACTTCCCATTGAAATACCATTAAGTTTATATTTGTTAAAATTGTTCTTCATTTTAATTATTGTATTGTTTAAAGTGTTTTTTTGCACTACAAATAAGATATGTACCGTGTGCATAGGAATTCATGGGTTTTTTTTTCAAATTATAACCCGGCCCCCCAACAGTTTGAAAGACCGTGACCTGGCTCTCTGTTTAAAAAGTTTGAGGACCCCTGGTCCATACCTATGCCTGCCTCAGGGGAGCGTGCTTGCTCCATCCATGTTCAACATTTACACAAATGACCAGCCACTGCCAGAAGGGACAGAGAGTTTCATCTATGCTGATGATCACCGCCCAAGCAGGGAGCTTTGAGATGGTTGAACAGAAGCTCTCCGAAGCTCTAGGTGCTCTTACTGCCTATTACAGGGAAAACCAGCTGATTCCTAATCCATCTAAAACACAGACATGTGCTTTCCACCTTAAGAACAGACAAGCATCCCGAGCTCTGAGGATTATTACCTCAGGTTGACATGAAGTGGATATATATCAGGCATGGGCTGTTAGGAATTGTGGGAGTTGGAGTCCAAAACACCTGGAGGGCCAAAGTTTGTAGGCCTGGGTAACAACGCAAAAATTTGTTTCTAAAATCGATTTGTATTTGGGGTTTTTTTTTGTTTCGATATTTAAAATAATTACAAAATTTTCCTTTTAAAAAGTTCGATATTTACGAAATTTCGTAAATGGTAAAAAATTAACGAATCTATTTCCGAAACAATAACGAATCGATTCGTTAATGGCGGACGCGACCGCGAAATACGCTAAAAAACCTCCAAAAACTTCTGAAGCTTCCCTCTCCCTCTGTTGTTGACTGTTGGTGTGATATTATAATTTTTTTTCACTAATTAAACCATAAAACTGGCCCAGACATGCGGAAATAATAACGAAACGACCTCTGAACAATAACGAAATGAATACAATAACGAAATACGAAGCATTTACAAAACATGTTTAAAAATTCGTTTTTTTTAATGATTGCTCCAGAATGGTTCGTTATCGTTTTGTAATTGGAAAAATTAACGAATTATTAACGAATTACGAATTAACGAAACGAAACCGCCCAGGCCTAAAAGTTTGCCCATGCCTGATATATATCAATATCTAGTTTTCGGTTTTATGTGACTTGTACCAACATTTGGGGCGCATCTGACTGGCAAAGGAAGTCACCTATCTGCATATACACAATGCATCTGGCCTGGGAAATAGCCAGAGGGATTTGCCCAACCTTTTCCATTCCGAGGAGATTATTTGAACAGGATCACAGGGGGTGGCTGTGGCTAAGTTACATTTTGATACATTTCCAAGAAGCAGTTTATATACATTACACATATACAAAATATGGACACTTATTCATCTATATGGACACATTCATCTATACAGCCGAACTCGCGCATCATCCGTTCATTTGGGCACATATCTGTTTTGTCTCGGCTCTCATGACACGTGTCTGTGCACCTTTTTGTCAGGATGCGCCAGACACGTGTTTGACCCGCATTCCTCTGGACCGGGCCTGGGCCAACTTGGGCCCTCCCTCCAGGGGTTTTGGACTCCAACTCCCACAATTCCTAGCAGCCGGTAGGCTGCTAGGAATTGTGGGAGTTGGAGTCCAAAACCCCTGGAGGGAGGGCCCAAGTTGGCCCAGGCCTACTCTGGATTCACCCCGTTTGAGCTTTGGGATTTCAACTCCCAGAATCCCTGGCCATTGGCCCAGGCAGCCAAGGATTCTGGGAGTTGGAGTCCTCAGCGCTGGAGACTCACTGGACTCCATGCCTTTGCCTCGGCTCTTTGGATACGCATTCATCCCTTCATCTGGACTCATTCCTGACCAGGAATGGAGTCCTCTGACCAGTGGTCACTTGTCTGGACACTTACTCATTTATTCCTTCACCTGGA